CACTAGATTTTTCTTTTGCTTCAATATTAAACCAAAAGTCTGCTGAGCCGTTGTTTTTAGCATGAGCCAAAATATCTTCTATGGGCTCCTTGGAGCACCACTGGTAGTCTAGGAGATTGATCATTTTGACCGGATGGCCCCCAAAAGGTAAAGAGAAAAAGTGGCTTGCCTGTGTTTTGGTAATCCGAAAATAAGGAGGAAGTTTTTTAACATCTTACTTTAAATTTATGGATGCATGCTTGTCATCCATACAAAAATAGGGGAATTCAGAAAATATTCGCTTGAAATTTAAAGGGCTTTTTTTTTCTAAAGTTCGATTCAAACCCGCAAATTCATTATTTTTCTCGTTACTCGGTTTTTATAATAAAGTAAGGCAGCAAACTTCGATCCAAAAACTTGATCCGACTACAGCATGTGTCACTCTCTCAAAGGCGTCTTTTCTGTCCACAGTTACGTGAGTCAAGACTCCAATCGAATTTAACGGTCAAGTGGACTTAATATATAGGCCAAGTTTCAGTAGTAAGAAGTTAAAGTAGTAGTAAGTCTTCACCATCATCCATTTTCATGTGGGTACCCAAAACAGTTAAGGGCCATTTTTTCCAAAGTGGTGGTGTCCCACAGTGATCGTAAAGCGTGGTCACCTGAAGTAAAGGCTTCGCGCGCACGCTGTCGGGTTACCAAAGCGGGAGAGATGATGAAGGCATAGTCGGAGCGAGTCAAATTACTGTTCGCTTTCATCTTCTATGAGTAACAAGAGGATGTTTGTTATTCACTTCTATCCTAATAACCTTGCCACCCAATCAATATGGTACGTGAAACCATCCATGAAAATAGGTTTGATTCCATATTCTACAGGCTGAGTGTTCTCGCCAAGGTATTTAGAGATCCAGAACAGCCATCCTCTCTGCAGAGGATCAAAATTGTGGTGGCATGTCTTCGGATCATCCTCGGGGATGTTTCCCAGACAGTCGCCTCTAGTGCGACGTAAATCAACTACAACAACTGATTCATTTATTTATTTTATTGAAATTACATACATTTTCTGACTTGTGTGCTCAATATAGGCTTATTCAAGTAGAAAATACAGATAGAACAATTCAGAGAAAGACATCACAAAGAATACATACAGGGTTACGGCGGGATTCAAACCCGCTACCTCCACGCTTAACAGAGCGTTTGGACCGGCGATACCGCTCGGCCAGGGAGGCCCCACAACTGATTCAGAACAGGAAAAGATGCATGCTGTTCGCTTCTGCCCCAATATCCTTGCCACCCAATTACTGTGAGAACATCCATGAAAATAGGCTTGGTTAAGGTTCGGTTTCTATTAAAATAGGTTTTTTCAGAACTTTGATTCCACTCCAACGCATCTGAACGACGGAACGGTGGAGTTAAATAAGAGAAGGATTCTTTCGAAATCATTATTATTACGGATATGATATGTTAATAGAAGTATAGATAAAGAAGAATTGAGCAATATATACGAATCAGAGCAAGGATGAGCCGAGGGCTTTCCACAGCTCTCCCACCTTCGAGTTTGTGAGTTCAGTTTTTCTGTTGATATTTTAGTGCGTTATGTAGAGCTTGTGTTCAGTTTGAGTAAACGTTTGTCGTTCTCTTAGGAGTTTGCTGTTTCTTGCTGTTTCAAGCTGTTTAGCTGTTTCTCCAGACTCAATGACTACTCACGACCCAATGATCAGACTCACGGAGCTCTTCCTGACCCGACCGAATTAGGTAGTTAGGGAATTGCGACTCACGACTCACGCTGTTTATCAATCGCAGCTGCTGATCTAGAATATGGCCACTTATCATCACCACGGACGTGGCGGAAAGAGACAAACCGAGACTCCAACACGAAACTCAACGATACAGGAGATACAACGATGGATGGAAATTCCACATGAGGAATGCGGACGTGGCGGAAAGCGTCAAACCGAAAGCCCGAGACGTAATCCTATGACGATTGAACCACCCACGGATCCTATGGAATTAGAGATATATGAGAGAATGATGGAAGCATATGGGAAAATAAACAGTGAAGCAAGCGAACTAAACAGTGAAGCAAGCGAACTGCTTGAAAAAACAAGAAACTATAACCAGCAAATCAANATTTCAAATTTCTACTGATCATCAATGTAAATATCACAGATTAAGTTTGTATATCATGTTTTCATATCTAATCATGGCTATTTTCAATTTTCTTTGCAATTCATGTAAACCTTCGATCTAGTTGTACTTTCTAGTCATGGCAATATTATTATGTAACCATACTATCATATAACTCAAAATGACTATATACACTGTATTATTTTCATGATGGATGGGTTAGAGGCCGCTGCGCGGCCTAGGTACCCAATTTATTTTAAATAAAGTAAGTAAGTAAGCTCTCCCACCTCGAGAGCGACCTGCACCTATGCATTCATGCCGGGGAAGAACAGGACAAGTCCAGTGATGATTTGAAAATTTATTACTTGCTTACATAAACTAATGTGAATGAACAAATACGAGTGTGTAGTTTTTGTTTGTACTTACTTTACATGCAATAAAAGTATAGATATTTTAATATTCAAATTTTCTAGAATTATGACTACTATTCACAATTTTATGGTTAAGCAGAGTAAGGCTATTTTACAAACTCTTTCGAAAAAAAAACACTTATTGAATATTATGCTATTTTTATAACCGCTGTGAGTTTTGAACAGTCACAATTGTTAGGTTTGAGCCTTGGTGGCTCAGGGGATAGAGAGCAGCCTTCCAATGAGGTGAACCGGGTTCGAATTCCGGTGATGGCTGGTTGATTTGAATTCTGCACACGACTCGAACTGACCACAGTACGAATGTAAAATATTGTCAGTGGTAAACGGATCATGAGTTAGAGTCCCCTCGCCGTCAGGCTAATCGTGGGAGGTTTTTTTTCTTTATGTAAAGCAAATGTGAGTTAGTTCCATCAAAAAATCCTCCTGGTAAGGCGAATTTCTCTCACTACTTGATCCAGGAGTTCCCTTTTCTGGTTTGGGATCAAAATTGAAAGGCTTCGGAGTTGAACATTAGTAATCGTAAACACAAAAGATTGGATCGTCCAATCAACGAAGGTTTTAAAATAAAATAAAACTGTTGGGTTTTGTTTATTTCTGGCAAGCGTATCCTCTTTGGGGACTAAGAAAATGGTATAAAATATTAACTTTGGAAAAAAAAAGCTACATTTCTTTTTCTCTTAAAAAAATCCTATTTTTGTATTTAAAAAGTTGCTTCAACACTACATTATCACAACTCATTAAATAGGGGGGGGAATGAAGAAGTTTTAATGCATTTTAATGATTTTCATCTAGGTGGAATATGCTGCCAAATTGACTATGAAAAAAGTTTTATAACACTGCAAAACAATAGTCTTCTGTCCTTTTCGACATAAGTGCGATTCTATGTAAAAAAAAGGGAGATGGTTCTTATAGCAAAAGATAAATAGTCCATTATGTATAGTTTTTGTAGAAGAAAAGTCGAAAAACTAGGGAATTTTCTAATATTTTGCTTCATTACCCCTTGTGTGTGTGTGTGTGTAGGCTACCGACAATGTCAACCATCATCTATCAGAAGGTACATCAGGATTGAATTAACATGTCTTATATACTAGTGAATGGGAATTGAATAGTTGTCGTGGTAGCTACGTTACATTACTCCATCACCAGAATTTTATCTATGGTAAAATTCGATGAATGGATTCGAGTCATTGCCCCTTTGAGAGAGGTTGTGAAAGCTGTATTAAGATTACCTGACTTTGAGTGACTGTTGTGAGAGCTTTATTTAGATCACTGTAGTTCACGTGGTCGCTTCTGTGTTGCTATTAGCAGTAGAGTGTGTGGTTGAAAACGAGTAGCAACAGTGCGAGGAGGTTAATGTCACAGTCACAAATAGCAAGTCAACTGTTTACCGTTGACCATCCACCAAACTATGTGTTTAAATGGAAGTGGGCGTTTCAATCAAGATAGGCTTGTTGGTAGAGGCAGATATGTTCAGATCACATCCGGGTCACCAATGAGGGTGCAGACTACCAACGCTGTCAACCGTCCTCTATCAAAAGATACCTCAAGATAGAATAGAGTTAGCGTGTCTTATATACTAGTGAATAGGAATTGAATAGTTGTAGTGGTAGCTACGCTACACCTTTTATTCCCCATTTATAAGAGGCCTAGCATCAGGCTCGTGACATCAGAGAAAACCTGATTTTTTTTACCTCTGGTTATCGTAACCTACTTTCAGGCAAGCATCACCGTGTGAATCCAACTTAGAGTCGGGCCTGACGTGTGATTGGTTCGTTGCGCCTAGTTATTTTTCGCCTAATGGGGCTCAGAACATCGAGAATAGTACAAATGTGACAGGCATTTTTTAAAGCTTGTGAGGTCTGAAAACCACTTTCAGGATCTTTTTTTCTGTCCCTACGTAAATAGGGTGGGAGAGAATCAAAACTTCGGAAATGTAAATGAGGCAATTGTTGCCAAAAGTGTCGCCGATGTCAACATAAGGTTGCTGCGGCCCCACTGTCAATGGAAAACATCTTCCCTGGAGAATTATAATATGCAGTTAAGCTATTAGTAAAAGAAAAACAAGACTACTAATAAAGAATAATCTTTTTTGGGAAACTAAGTGATAAACAAAATGCAATTACAGATTATTTTCATCCAAAACACGTATTTTTATCTCAAAGACACTTTTTCAAATTGTAATTATTAATATTTTAAGTTGTGTAATATTTTAAGTTGTGCAATTATTAATATTTTAAGAAATTATCACTTTTAAAGTTTAAATATTTCGGTATACAAGGCAGTTTCAATAGTTTGAAATCAATGGTTTGCTTCAAGATTAAAAATCCTTAATTTGTGATTTAATTTCCTTGGTAAAAGAGTTTCAAACGAACAACTTTATGATAAAAATACCTATCAGATGCACTATTTTTTTAAGCATAAAAATTTATTGAATGAAACAGGTATGTCAAATAAAAATAGACATTTAACTTCAAAATGCTTTTAATTAAAAATTATTCAAAACTGAAAACTGCAGAAAAGATAAATATATCTGATAAAAGTCAGTCAATTCATGGTTTTTCTCAAAACTTCAGTTGGCTACCAGGATCCTCAAATTTCAATTGTTTTTTGGTGCTGGGACATCTCTGTTTGAAGCAGAGGTTTTAGGAACATTTTGTTGATCATCTCCGAGTAAAAAGTATGCTGCAGTAGTGGCAACAAACGAAATGCCTACAACGCCAGCTAATCCTTTCCCAATGTTTTGCACTGATTCATACTCGCTTGTCATAAGTAATGCTGAAGCTCCTGCGGCAGCTACATAGATTAAAGCACCAAAGGCTGCCTCACGACGTCTGATAGCCATATCTCGATTCAACAATTGATAGCCTCAGATTTCCTGAAAACAAAGATTTCACATATATATAGTTTGCTTAAAATTTTATTGGCTATCGATATGGGCTACAGGGGGTGTAGAGGAGAACACTATGGCAACACTTCGCATGTTTTCACTCTTAGCGTGAGGAGAGTCATAGGAGAAGGGATAGTACACGAGTTTCTCTTTATTTCTAAATAGCGTAAAAACTTTTAATTCCGAAAACTATACGGAACTCAAAACTACTTGGATATAGTTCTAAAAAAAGCATCGTGGAGATTTTAGCAAACATTTTTGACAATACAATACGAAAAATATTAAGGGGAAAATATCGTAGTGCATTCCTATACAATTGAAAATAGGAGGAGAGGAAAGGGGGGAGGTTCACGATATAGAACCGGTCTTTATATTCGAGAGTTGCGATCGCAAGTCAAAAATTTTAAAACTTCTTAAAAAAGCTTACTCTTTGAATATGGTTTTTTGTAATATATATCCATTAATTAAACTTAACTTTTAATAAACAATTTATAAAGGCTTGAGTACGATTCGGTTTTAGTTTTTCAAATACTAGAGCAGTTGGGAATCTTTTGAAGAGATGAAAGCATGTAGGCACCATAATGAAGACTAATTTATGATAAATGAGTCTATATTATGAAATAAAAGAACACCATTGTTCAGTAAACTGGCTTGCCAACTACTACGCTCTTTGCTAAATATTTTATGGAATGGTAGACATTTAATCTCCAAAGCTTTCAGGATTTTTTGTAATTTCACCATACTTTGAAAACCCTCACCACGAGAGCTTGAACAAAGTGGTGTTGCATTTGAAATTTTAAAACATTTGTGTAGTGGCGTGGAAGAATTGAGAGACAAAAGTAAAAAGCATTAATATATAGTCACAACACTAAGATATGAAGTGTCAAAGAGCTTTTCCATAAGATTAACGTAAGTGGAAAAAAGAAACTGAGGTATACATTAGCAGATTTAAAACTTCATTTGCTTTGAAAATATACAAATAGAAAATAACAGTCAACAAGTTTCAAGCACTTCAAAAGTAGGCGCCCATTTTCAAGACTTGCCGGACGTGAAAGAGAAGAAACAAAATTCATTTGAGATTTTTTTTAAAAAACGAAAAGTTGATAACGAAAAATTAAAAAAATAAAAACTTTCACGTCTGGATAATGGGCGGCCTTTTTTTGTAGCCCTGGAAAAATGCAGATTATGTATTGCGTATTTATCTAATTACGCATTTGAATTTAGAGCAGCAGTTCCCAAATGGTTCACCTTTTTGCGGAACCCTGGTTCCGAGAATTTAAAATTCTTAGACCGGTAAAAAGTTTTGAAACTTGTAATAGCATTTATATAATAAACAATAATTTCTTTGACAGTTTGATTATTTTTATGAAATTACTTAAGTAAAACGCCTTTAAAAAAAGAAATGGCGAAATTTATTAAAAAAACTGTCTCGCCTAACCTTTCAATTAAAAATAAAATGACCAAATTGAAGAATGACAAATCATGTTTCTCTGATAATGTTTATAAGAGTTCTTTTCCGAAAACAGCTCATTTTACAGCTTATTCAGTTTGAACAATTTATTCATTTTCAGCTAAAGTATGCACCAAAAACAAATTCGGAACTAGACTATGACCACTCCAGGTCTGCGAATTCAACTGTTGAACATAAGACCTATTGTTTTAAGACTTTCATTGGTAAAACTATTCTTCATTGATAAAAAATTCACTCTTCACATGAAATATTATTGAAATAATTGGTAGTCTTTCTGTGGTGAATATGCTCACAGCTACTAATAAATTTTTTTTATATGCTTGGAGTTCCACCAAAAGATGCTGGATCATTCCAGGGCTAAAGAGAATAGAAGGGCTAGTTCACTCCGCTCTTAGAGCTGAAGCTACGATTTCCCTCCTCATGACGTCACTGTGTCCACAGATCTCGGAGACCGCAAGCAAAGATATTACGATAACTTCGCATCTTTCTCTTTGTAAAAATAAGTTAGACTTTTTCTGGTTATTAGCTTTCAAACTTTACGTAATTAACACATTTCCGTTCATAAACATAGTTCAAAAAAACTTTCTTGGCCATTATATTAGAAAAAGTACCATTTTAAACTTATAAAAATGTTTTACTAGTTGGCGAAAATAACACTATAAATACTTTATTTTAAAAAGTTCAGTTTAAACTTTAATTATTAAGAAAAATGAAAGCATATATCGACACTTTTTT